CATCACAGCAATGATTAGCCTAAGACAGGGAACATCAATCAGTAAGGCAACCAGAATGATAAACTAGAAAAGTAATCAAATTAAATACATGAGAGATACTTGGATATGGTGATCCTACAAAGTAACACAGAAAAAGGTTTTTAAGTATAAAGATGTTAACGGTGTAGTAAGAGTCAGCACACCAGTTGTTGCTGCAGCATACATTTCCTAGCTAATCACAGGAATCCTGAACCCTGAACCACTAAACTAAGACCTTTGCGGGGCAGGGGGGAGGGGGAACGGCTACCAAAAATCCTAAAAACAAGAATGTTCCAAATGAAGGTTTATCAAAATGTGATACAACTGTCTAGAACAAAAGGGCTGCCTCACCAATCTCTAGTTTCTGTTGGCTAATAAAGATATTGGTGGTATTACTAACCTAGGAGGCTAGCAGTTAAGTCTCATTTCTTTTGCTTGTCTCTTGTTTGGATATTAAACCACTTAAGCCGAATTCAATGATGTTCCAACTTACCCACTACACTAAAAACTAACAAAAATATCCAAGAGTTGAGAAGTAAAACAGAGTTTTTATTATTTGCATTATCATACACATTCCTTACTTTACAGCATCTAGTAAAGCTTCATCACTAAAGAGGAATGTATTTCTAGGAGTGAGTTCATTTTAACAAAATTCCTTTAGACACTATAGTCCCTGAGTCAGTGGTGAGCATTTTTACCTGCATTTAATTAACATGCTACAAACTCTGTTTGAAATTAGTTGTTAAACACACAGCTAACTACATTAAACACAACGTTCCCTGTGATTTTCATCCCTAGACACAGTAGTACAATTAACGTAGTCAGATGGACTATATGGATAATAAAGCAGCACACAATGATTTCACGTACTTTTAGACTATAATGCAATACTTAATCTTTAACAGTAATAAAATCCATGTAACGTACAACTGATGAATATTTATAGGTGCACTAATAAGCAAATATTTGTTTTCTAAAACTCTACACATTCACAGTTGAGGGAATTTTAGAACAAAATTAACTAATTATCATAGTAATCCAAATAAAAATTATTTAAGAATATACTCTGATGTAAAATTACAGGCACTTGTGCTAGAGACAGGACTATACCATAAAAAAGTTTCACCAGTGGTCCAAAGTTCAGAAGTTCAAATTCAAATGACAACTTTTCTCTTGTAAAAAACAGTAACAAAACAAAACAAAAGCACAGATCACAATTAAGAAACTGGTAGCTAATTGGGCCAAGCAACAAATGGGACTACAGATTAACCTATAAATGTTGAAGTATTGATTGCTAAGTACTATATTAGCACTAAAACACAAACCCTAACTCAGAAGGATACAGATTTTAAAGAGCTATCTATTTTCAATTACTCATTAAAAAGTATAACAAACGAAAATAAATACAACTCTAAATCAAAAGTGAAGAAAATCTGAAAGAAGATATACTTTAAGTCCCTATGTTAACAGCATTGGCAGGGCTCCCCTGAGCACCTCCAGGATGAAAAGGGGGCTGAAGTAAGGAAGTAGGGTTGCTGCAGTCATGTCTACAGCCCAGCTCATCCTCCTGCCACAGACTGTCAGAAGACAGTATGAGACCATTCCTCATCAACATGACGTCTTACAGAAATGGCCACGGTTTTGTTTTAACTCTTTCACTGTGTTAGCTTCTAAATGACTGTCAAGAATGCAGTTTAATGAAGAGTTACCAGTCAAGAACGCTGTATCCACTGTATAACGCTTTAAATTAAAATTTTGCCTCTTTCACAAAGTTTGGATAAAATGGAGTGGGGGCAGTGCGAGTTTCTTTTTAGAACACCTTACACTGTACTTTCATGCTTTTCTAAACACATCACAACCATACAGAATCCAGACTCCTCTCGAGATATACTTGTGCTGTTCTTGACCAATTCCAAAGTTCTACAAATAACCTCTTCAAGTTCTCAATTTCTAGTACTTAAAGATTGTGTTTAACCTACAAAACCCTTGGTATTCTATTATAAATGCTGCTTTTAAACAAAGCCATTTAAGAAAGTCATTTAATATACTACCTAACAAATATTTTTCATCATAATTGGCTTACAACAGTTTCAAATCCCAGATGACACAAAAATAGTGGTATCCACTAAAATTATCAATGCTGAGCACATTTTAAAAAGCAAGCACAAAATTCAGAATTGTTATTAATAAGATGTGTTGCAGCCATTAATAGCAGTTATTCCCTTAATTTGGACTAAATATTTAAAGTAGGACAGGGTCACTGGTTGCTAAGAAGGCAAAATTTTATTAATACAAAAATTCTGACTATATTCTGGGGCACAGAAGATTTGATCAATATAGTTAACTAACACTACTGTATAACACTCTAAGCCCTGAAATATTTTCTCCAATTTAATGTGAAAGTTGAAAAGTGTATAACATGTAAACCAGAATATTAAGGAGCCACACTCTCTGATCTTTTAAAAGAATCACAATGATTTGGACTATACCAGCTTCCTCAACAACCTATCAACTTTATGGCTGTTTTTTAAACAGTTATTCTCTCAGGAATGCCCCAAGTGATCAAAACAAAACAGAACAATGATGCACATGTTCTCATCATTTGCTGGCTCGTGGGGTTTTATCTAAGTCAGTGGTTCTCAATCTTTCTAATGCTGTGGCCCTTTAATACAGTCCCTCATGTTGTGGTGACCCCCCCCCCAACCATAAAACTACTTTGTTTCTACTTCATAACTATGATCTTGCTACTGTTACAAACCATAATGTAAATACCTAATATGCAGGATAGCTTATATTCAGACACCCCAAGGGGTCTCAACCTACAGGTTGAGAACCACTGATCTAAGTGGCTAGTAAATGTTTTCTCTATAATCTTTTCAGTGTTACAAACAGTAACCAACAGGCCAAATTACAGCCCCCAAAGTCTTCCCTCCATCCTTCACATATGGTTGTAGAAGAGTTAAGAATCTTACAATCCTCAAAAACATAAAGAAAAGGTTGTTTACAGTTACAAAGTTCTAAAAATTAACAGTAAGAAAAACTCACAAAAACACAAATCTTACAATGGCTATGATAGGACAGTAAAGAACCTTCACTTCATTTAAGATAGTAAGACTGTGTTACCCACAAGACACATCTACTGCCCCAAACCATCAGTTGCAATTAACTCAAGGACTTCTAAAGAGATATTCCTAAAGTGAGCTGAGGAAGAGGGAGGGAGAGAGCATATTAAATTTTCTCTAGAAATTTCTAGCGTTTTGTAGTGAAAGGGAAAATCCAAAATCTAGTCCAGGCAGCACAATATGTTCAAATGCACCCAACGTTCAGTAGAAACAATTTGATTTCTAATAACAATAATTAATCATAATTATCTTGCCTATAACCATCTCAGAAGCCAGAACCACATTTCCCCAATACCGAAAGGACCAACAATGTTCTCTCTTACAAATTCGTAAGAAAACTTACTACATACTACCAGACCAGACTGTACGCAGTGTGATCAATGCTTTCCAACTAGCGAGCATGCCATAAGCGTAGCGTGCTTTGCAGCACATTTTACGAGCATCAAAGACACCAGAGCAGCAAGGGTTCTTTTTTTTACCCAACGCTTCAACAAATTCTGTAGATTCGAAAGCTTTACAAAAGCATTTGCTAGGCTGGGCACCTAGGTCTTCCTTCCAAACCCAGACTACACAACAGCTCCACGGCCACATACCACACGTTGTACCTCATCGGTACCCAGACACCTGAGCCACCTAGACCCACAGAGTTAGACTGTCAGCTCCCAGACGTCTGCGGTCGTGCACGACGCACCGGGCCAGCTGAGCCCTCCCGGGAGCTTTCGGTGCTAACTAACCTCTGCACTCGATCCAGCGACGAGTCTCCATAGTAAAGCCCTCTCTCCCCGTTACAAGACGCCGAACCGTTCCAAAGAAAAGACTACCATGCTAGGACCTTTTCCACTAAGGGGAGCAAAAAGGGATGGCCTTCTCTAGGCAAAAAAATAAATAAATAAATACAAATAGAAACTCTTGTCTGCCGGGGGGGTGAAGTGGGGGGGGGGACCTAGCTGGATTAGGAAAGCCAGATCCTAGATGCAATTCCCTGCCAGCCTACCCAGCTGTCGGTTCAATCCGAGCTCAGTTTTACCAGCCGCAAAATGGGAAACCCCGGCGCCGCCTCCTCCCCCTCCCCCTCCCCCGGGAGTCGGGACCAGGAGGACCCGGGTCCCCAAGCCGACAGCGCACCTGGCTTCACGGTCTTCAGACGGATGGGCTCGCGGAAGTGGCGGATGACAGCCAGGGTGTCCCGGTTGGTGAGCCCACTGACCGGCGTCCCGTTCACCTCCAGCAGCACATCGCCCGGACTGGGCGCCTTGCCCGAGACCACGCAGCAGGTGCCTCCGCCGCCACCAGGCTCGTCGCGGAGCCGCCCCAGGTAGGGGAACTCGCCGCGCTCGGCGCCGCCGCGGATCTCGGCGCCCAAGTCGCCCGGGGGCCCGGCCCAGGACACCGCACACTCCTGCACCTTGCTGAGCCAGTGCTTCTTCTTCTTCAACGTCTTCGACATCCCGACCTCCGCTGCACCATGGGGAGCCCCCGCGCGGGCGGCCGCGGT